AGTATCCTTATTATCATAACAACCACCACTACTACCATCCTTATCATCATCATCGTCATCATCATCAACAACAGCAACACCAACGCCACTATTATCATCATCAGCATCATCATCACCACCATCATATCATCATCATCGCCGTCGTCGTGGTCGTCGTGGTCGTCGTCGTCGTCGTGGTCGTCGTCGTCATCGTCATTTTCATCGTCATAGCCATCATCATCACCATCAGCATCCTCATCATCAACACCATCACCATCATCATCATCATCACCATCATCATCATCATCATCAGCAGCAGCATCATCATCATCATCATCATCATCGTGTTCATCAGCATCGTCATCATCACCATCAACATCAGCAGTATCATCATCAATGTCGTCATCATCATCCTCCTCATCCTCCTCATCCTCATCATCCTCATCCTCATCAGCCTCATCATCCTCATCATCCTCACCATCATCACCATCCTCCTCATCCTCGTCATCCTCATCACTCTCATCACTCTCATCGTCTCCATCATCTTCATCATCTTCAGCATCTTCATCCTCATCCTCATCCTCCCCCCTCCCTGCTCTTTCTCCTCCACCTCCTGCTCCTGCCTACCTCCTCCTCCCTCTCCCCCTCGTCCCCTTCATCCCCCTACCACCCTCCTCCCCGCTCTCACTCCCTCGGGAGACGGGGAGAAGGGTAGGAGGGAGGTGGGAGGTGGGGGATTATGATGATGATGATGATGATGATGATGATGATGATGATGATGGTGATGGTGGTGATGGTGATGATGATGATGATGATGATGATGATGATGATGATGATGATGATGATGATGATGATGATGATGATGATGATGATGATGATGATGATGATGATTGCATTTGGTCTCATCGCTTGTGCATTCGCTTTCTCCCCTCCCGCTGCCTCTTCCCCTCAAGCCTTTCTGCCGTGAACAGTTCATGGCCGCCTGGGTGCACGCTGCAGGCGGGTGGGTTCTCGGCGCGCTCTCCGAGCGCTGGACTGGACCTGGCCGCAGCGGGATCGCCGAGGTCTCCTGCCGCTGCGTGTTCGAGGGCTCGGACACGACCGACGGCCTGGTGGCCATCCTCCGGGAGCAGCTGGCACGCTGCGGCCCGGAGCACCTGCAGGGGGTCGCGTGCCAGCCCTGCCCTCCGTGCCCGCTCCCGCCTGGGCACTACACGGGGCTCGACCTCTGCGGCGCGGCCGTGGTGGGCGTGGCCCTTGGCGCTGGGCTGGCGACCGCGGGTTGGCTGGCGGCGGGCTCGCCTGGACGGCCGGCGGCGCGAGCGCGCGCCCTCGCCGTCGAGGACGACGCCGGCGGCACGCACGTGGCGACGCCGTCGGGTCTCGGGCGTGGCCGTCGGGCTCCTGGTGCTCGTGCTGACTGAGGGCCGCCATGGCCCGTGCGCTGGACACCCCGTTCAGCCAGTGCCTCGTCAGGTACGAGGACGACGAGAACTTCCAGTGGCATCACCGTGTGCTGCTGGTGAAGGGAGATGCCCAGAAGTGGATCTGGCTCACGCCGGATGGGGAGGTGGCCTTCGTCGACCTGGCCACGTTCCGAGTGCTGGCCCTCCGGCGGTCGGGCCCCTTCCCAGCGCGGCATGCTGGCAACATCTACGCCTTCGACGAAGTGGCGGCGGAGGACATGCAGGGCTACCTCGAGGAGGCCAGGGCCCTGGGGACGATCCTCGGGTTCGACCTCGCCGGCGTCGTGGGCCTCCCCGGGGACAAGTGGTACGTGAGCGACCCCACCTCGTCGCACTTCGGCGAGGAGGTGCCGCCGCAGGTCCTCGCCAACGAGGAGGTCCTGGTGCGGCGTGGGGATGTTGGGCTCGTACGGCTCGACGACGTCTGGGTCCACGCGATCAAGGTGAGCGAGGGCCAGAACTTCGACACGTACCTCGCCCGAGCTCGCGGGGGCGCGGGCCGGGGCCCGCGCGTCGTGGGCGACGAGAGGGACCAGGATGGAGGCAGGTACATCGACTTCCGGGACTCGGTTCGCCGCATGAAGGAGGCGACGATACCGGGCTGGCCTCTGCAGGGCCGCCGTGCGACGAGGGAGGCTGTGCTTTCCCTTCGAGACGGTGGTCAGGGCAACTGGGAGGAGCACCACACCACGTGGCTCCGCCGCAGCGGAGTGGCCGAGCGCGGCAACGTCGCCCGGGAGCACCACATGATCTGCGTGTCTTTTCGGATGATGCAGCAGTTCGATCAGCTCGACCTGTTCAACATTGCGGGCGCGGAGTATCTCGTCAGGCGGCTCAAGCAGCTGGAGTCGGCGACCCGCAAGAACCCTCGGGCCCCCGACTTCGAGGGGCTCGACCTCATCCTCGACACGGGGGTCGACGACACGGGCGGCATGGTGCTGCCGGAGTTCGACGGATGGGTTGGCGACCAGGCGCGTGCCCGCGCCCAGACCATGAAGGCGAATCGGCAGTGGCAGGAGGAGAGGACGGCCGCGCAGCCCAAGGCGCCCCCGAAGGGGCCGAAGGGTGGCGGGGCCGACGCTGGCAAGTAGCAGGGGGCCGGGCGGCCCCCTTCTTGGGCTGGGCGTCCTGCGGCGCCCCGCCCTGCCTGGCTGCCGCCGCGGGTTCCTCCGCCGCGGCCGCCTCCTCGTCCTCCCCATGGCATCGGGATCACGCTCCTCGCACGGGGGCCCGCTGCCGCTTTCGGTCCCGGGGCCTGCGCCGCCGGTCGACCTCAGCGGGGCGCCGCGGTACCTGCGCCAGCGGGTGCTCCAGCGACGCTCACGTGAACACCGTGTTCGTGAGGCAGTACATTCGATCAACTGTCTCGCCGCCTGCACGGTGCGCCATCGTGGCCGCGGGCCAGGTGGCGCTGCCGATTCAGGGACTGCGGGTGCGGCGACCTCGTCCTCGTGTGGCCGGCAGCTCGGCCGCTGCGTGGCGGAGTATGGCCCTCGCCCGGCAGGTCTCCACCCTCGCGGAGCCCTTCAGGAGCTCCTCAAGTCCGACTCGCTCTACGGAGGCGCGCCGTCCAAGGTCGTCCCGTACGAAGAGTCCAAGCTCAAGTTCTGGCAGTCCTCGGTCACGCCTCGAGACGTGGAGGAGGTCTGCCCCAAGTTCGTCGTCGACGCCTTCCGCGACCCCGACGCCTACATCCGCAAGCCGGACCGCGTGGTGGAGCAGGACCTCGAGCTCCTGCCGCCGATCAAGCCGTACTGGGACGCGCGGCTTGCCAGCGACGCCAGCCTTCGGCGGGACTTCCTTCTCAGGCTCGCGGGGCGGGGGCTGGTCGGCTTCCAGAGGCGAATCAGGTCACGTGTGGGGTGTTTCTTCGTCGAGAAGAAGGGCGGCTGGATCCGCCTGGTCGTCGACGCTCGCGACACCAACCGCACCCACTGGGCGCCGCCGCATGCCGCCCTCGGGACCCCGGCTGCCCTCAGCGAGCAGGACTGGTCCGATGCTGCGCTCTCGGACGCTGGATGGGTTAGTGCTGATGGCTCCCCCGCTCAGATCTTCGGGTCGTCCCTCGACCTCCAGGACTCGTTCTACCAGTTCTTCTCGGAGCGCGTCGCGGAGGATTTCGGGATGGACTTCCCTGAGCGGGCCTCCTACTACCAGGTCTCCCACATCTGGACGCCCGACGGCCTGTCCCCTGTCGACCCCGACGAGCTCGTCTTCCCGGTCTTCCGCGGGGTGCCGATGGGGTGGTCATGGGCACTCTGGGCCGTGCACTCGTCCGTCACGTCCTGGGTCTCTGACACGCTGCCGGGGGGTGCCCGACGCCTGCTGCTCGACAAGCAGCCGGCTCCCGTCGCGGCACCCTTCCGCCCCACAGGGTCGGTCTACGTGGACAACGTCTCGTTCCTGGGCCTTTCGAGCGACGACGTCGGGCAGGCGTTGCAGGCCGCGAAGGACAAGCTCGACTCGCTCGGCATCGCGTACCACGAGGTCGAGGGCCCGGCCACGCACTTCACCACCGTCGGCGTCGAGTACGACGGGAGGCGGAGGCGTCTGCGTCATTCCGATCACCGAGCCTGGCGCCTCTACTTGGCCTGTCAGGAGCTCGAGCGCCCTGGGGTTCCGCGCGCGGCCTGGCAGATCCGAGTGTTCCTCGGGCACTGTGTGCAGCACTGCCTGCTGCTGCGGCCGGCCCTCTCGATCTTCCGCCTGCTCTACCGCTTCGTGGACGCGCAGGGCCAGGGGCCCCCAGTCGCTCTGTCTGCTGGGGCCCGCCGGGAGATCCAGCTCTTCAGGGGCCTCATCTTCCAGGCCGTCGTCTTCTTGGACCGGCCGATGTCCTCCCTGGTTTTGTGCTCCGACTCGTCCGAGGCGGGCTACGCTCTCCACCGCCGACGCGCTGACGTGCGACTCCTTCGGCAGCTGGCTGCTACCCGGGAGAGGTGGAGGTTCGTCCCCGACGAGAAGCGGCCCGACGCGGCGCTCGACGACACCTTCTCCCCGGGCTGGGTGCCGGGCGCTGGAGGAGTGCTGGGGGAGCCGCCGGGCGCTACAGGCGTGGCCGTCTGGGCCCCCCCGCCGACGCGCTCGAGGGAGGGCGCCCGAGGCGTACTCAAGGGTCGTCTCAGGCCCACTGTGCGACCTGCTGGCGTCTCCGTGCCCGACAGCCTCGTCGATCCCAGGGACTGGTCTCTCATCGTGGAGGGCGCCTGGCGCCGCGGGGCCCCCATTCACCTGCTGGAGGGCCGCATCGCCCTGGGGGGCCTGCGGCACGCCGCCCGGCAGGTCGACTGCCACGGGTCCCGCGTGCTCAGCCTGGGCGACAACATGTCGGAGCTCCTCTCCATCGAGAAGGGGCGAGCCGTGGACCTCGGCCTCGCCTGTCTGTGCCGGAGGGCCGCCGCCTACCAGATCGCCTGTGGGATCTCCTGGCGGCGCCGACACCTCGACACGGACCGCAACCTCTGTGACGCGGGGTCGAGGAAGGCGCTGCAGGGCGTCTACCGCCCAGGGCAGCGGCGGGTTGGCGGCAGGTCGGACAGGCCGGCTCTGCCCGCGGGCTGCCCGCCGTCGGCGCCCCCGACGCCGGCCCCGCCGGCGCCCTCGGCGACCGCCAGCTGGCCAGTCTCCGAGGAGGCTTGCGAGCCTCCCCCCGCGGCGCGGCTGCGCGGCGGCCGACTTCAGACCTGCCCGCCGCGGCCGCCGCCGCGGGCTTCTGGAGCTGCTGGCCGCTGCGGGCCGCGGCGCTCCCCACGGCCACAGGAGGGGCCCGCGGCCGGCGCCCCTGGCCACCCTGCACGCAAGGCGACGTTCGACGAGGCCGAGGGGGCCCGCGACCTGTCGCCGCCGGCGGCCTGCCCACGCGGGCGCCGCCCACGGCCGCGGCCAGTGCCTGCGCCGCGGCCTGCTGGGGCCCTCGGACGAGTTGGACGGAGACTCGTGCCGGGGCCTCGGCTGCTCTCTTCTGAGCGGGCCCCGCCACGTCTTGGCCGCTCCGGGCCGCGCACGCGCGCCGGGAGCGCGCCGCGCGGGCCGCCTGCCCTCGGGAGCCTTCGTTTGCATGCCCGGCCTGGCCGAAAATGGACGACAGAGCCTCCCGGGCTGCTGCCCCCTCCGCCCACGCCGTTCGTCGCGGTCGAGCCGGCTCGTGTTCCTGTACCTCGGCTTCGTGGACGTCGGGCGGCTCTCGAGATCTTCTCGGGGGGGGCTCGCTGGACGGGGGCTCTCGCGCAGCTCGGTCTGGCTGTCGCGGCTCCGATCGACATCAAGTTCGGGGGTTGGGGCGACCTGCTTCGGCCCAGCATCGAGACCGTCGTTCGCCAGTGGATCGTCTCTCGCAAGGTCTGGTTCGTGCACTTCGGGACTCCGTGCACTCCGTGGTCAGTTGCTCGCCGTGGGGCCAATGATACGTCTGCTATACGCGCCGGTCGGCGGTGTGCTCATGTCACTCTTCGTCTACTTCGGTTGTGCGTTCAGTTCGGCGTCAGGTGGTCCCTCGAGAACCCCCGGGGATCCCGGCTCTTCTCTTGGGAGCCTCTCCAGAAGTTCCTGTCCGAGCATAGCAAGGTCTCCGTGGTGTATGACTGCTGTCAGTTTGGAGCCCCGTACCAGAAGCCCACCAGGATTGAGTCTGACCTCCCCGAGCTCGGTATCCTTGAAAGGCGTTGTCTTGGAGGTCATGCCCACGAGCATCTTCAGGGGAAGGTCAAGGTCCGTGATCGCCAGGGTCGGCTCAAACAGTTCTGGCGCACGACCCTGGCTGGCGCCTACCCTCCTGGTGTCTGCCACAGCGCCGCCCGGGCCTTGGCGCGCGCGGCGCCCGCTGGAGCCTGGCGACCAGATGGGGATCCACTGCTGCCCGGTCACTGGGAGGCTCAGCTCCGCCGTGCAGCCAAGATGGGCGACGTCCAGCCGTCCCTCGAGTGCCCCAGCTGCCCGCGGAAGTGGGTCGCGCTCTGGCCGCCCGACGCCGAGGGCTGGGGCCGCTTCGTCGGCCTCCCGCGGCCGCGGGCAAGGCCGAAGCCTCGGCAGAGGCCGGGCGTCGGCTGCCCGGGCCCGCCAGGTGCCCGCTGACTCCTCGCCGGGCTTCCTGCGGCGCTCGCAGGTGCGGCCGGCCACTCAGGCCCGCTACCTCGCCAGCGTCGCCGTGTTCGCCACGGCCATGGGCGTTGTCGCCGACCGCTGGGTGAGCAATGACCTCCCCCTGGTGGACACGCTCCTTGAGGAGTACTTCGAGCAGCTCTACGTCGACGGCGGCAGCAAGAGCACGGCCCGCTACACCTTGGCCGCCTTGGCCTACCGTTTCAGCGTGTCGCTTCGTGCCCCAGGCGTCTTCCCGAAGGCGAAGGGCGCCCTCGCCGGCTGGGGCAAGCTCGAGCCGGACGTCACCTCGGAGCCGCTCTGCTGGGCGGCAGCGTGCTTGATGGCTCTGTACCTGGCCGGCCTCAACACGGAGATTGCCCTGCAGGCCGCCCGCGGCCTGGTGGTGCAGTTTGACACGTACTTGCGCCCTGGTGAGCTGCTGGACCTCCGCGTGCCCTGCTGCATCCTGCCGCAGCCGAGTGCCGGCTCAGGGTACAACAAGATGGGGCTCGTCGTCGGCGCCTCCGCGCTGGTCATGGGCGACGACGTGCACACGCGCGTCACCAAGACTGGCCTCCAGGACGACACCGTGCTCATCGATGGCCAGTCTCGTGCGGGTGTGGCTGGCGCGCTCATGGCCCTCGTCAAGAGCGCCAACCAAGCCCTCCAAGGGCGCCTCATGTTCCTCCACTCGTACGCTTCGTACAACCGCTTGCTCAAGAAGGCCGCCGTCGCCGTCGGCCTCCCGACCAAGGTGACAGCCCACCTCCCTCGGCACGGCGGTCCGTCGGAGGACTACCTCAGAGGCGCCCGCTCGCTGGCCGACATTCAGTCTCGTGGCAGGTGGTCGAGCTTCCGTTCTGTGCAGCGCTATCAGAAGAGCGGCCGTGCTCTTGCATCCTTCAGACGCCTCTCGGCCGCTGTGAAGGCAGAGGCTAAGCGTGCTGAGGCCTTGCAGTTGTCCTTCCTCTCGTAATGTGCCTCTTTGCGCTCAGCCTGCTGCAGTGTTCCCTCGGCATGCCAATGGAGTCGATACGGGATTTACTCCAGCGTTTGATATGGGTTTGATTAATGGTCTGGCCAGACTGTCAGATTTCTCGAGCCCCCTCGGCCTCGTGGGCCAGGGGCTCTCAGTGTTTCAGCTCTGCCGTCAGCCGCCATCGCAAGTGCACTCAGGCGTGGGCCTGAGCTCCGGCGCCTGTAAAAAGAAATGAAAGTCCTCGTCACGCCCGCTGTCTTTTTCCGTTAGGCTGACGCCGTTCCGAGTCTCTTGGGACCCACGCCCTGGGAGGGGTGTCCGTTCAAGATTGCATTGCATTTGGTCTCATCGCTTGTGCATTCGCTTTCTCCCCTCCCGCTGCCTCTTCCCCTCAAGCCTTTCTGCCGTCCCGCCCTTCCCACCCAGGGAAACGCTGGAGGAGAGGCAAAGTAGCTTGGACTTCTGCGAATTTGGGTTTGATTAATGGTCTGGCCAGACTGTCAGATTTCTCGAGCCCCCTCGGCCTCGTGGGCCAGGGGCTCTCAGTGTTTCAGCTCTGCCGTCAGCCGCCATCGCAAGTGCACTCAGGCGTGGGCCTGAGCTCCGGCGCTGTAAAAAGAAATGAAAGTCCTCGTCACGCCCGCTGTCTTTTTCCGTTAGGCTGACGCCGTTCCGAGTCTCTTGGGGCCCACGCCCTGGGAGGGGTGTCCGTTCAAGATTGCATGATTATGATGATGCTGCTGATGATGATGATGATGATGATGATGTTGATGATGATGATGATGATGGTGATGATGATGATGATGATGATGATGATGATGATGATGATGATGATGATGATGATGAGGAGGAGGAGGAGGAGGAGGAGGAGGAGGAGGAGGAGGCGCAGGGGCAGCAGGCGGGATGGGCGGGAGGAGGAGCATGGCAGATTTGTCATGGATTCGCACGGGTCTAAAAAAACCAAGGTCCAGAACAGAACGCGGCGAGGAACGAGAGAAGGCTGGGGTCGCGGTGCAGCGTGCACCGAGCGCCCCTGCCCCCCACACGTGCGATCCTACCGAGCGAGCCGCGCCACTCCGAGTGGGTCGCCCGCGGCCTGCGCACGAGTCCTCCGAGAAGGTCTCCAGCGACGAGCGCGGCTCACTCCGAGTGTGCCACGTCCTTCCTGCCCAACTTCCTGGCTCTCTTTTGATTCCTCTCGCTTCGCGGAGTCCCAAGAGGCCCCAGAGGCCAAAGTCGTGGATTTCCCTTAGTTTTTTACAGGTTTTGAGAGCCCGAAAAGGGGCCACCACCTTGATACGGCGGAGTGGCGCGACTCCAAGGGGGGATTAGGGGGGGAGACAATACTTCCTGCCCAACTTCCTGGCTCTCTTTTGATTATTTGGCTTGCGCCGCACCGCCGACCCCTTGAGGGAAAGTCGCTGTTGCGGTTTCTGGGTGCTGCGAGACTCATGCTTGTATTTCTATCTAGTGGCCTTTGGTCCATCCCGCCACCATGCCTGGGGTTCAGAGGCCTCTTGGATATTCGTTCGGATCTCGTGAGAAGCCTCTCGGGGGCCTGCCAGAGGCAGTTTGGAGGCCTCTGGGGGGTTGTTTTGGGGACTCTTCGGGCCTCTTTTGCACCTTTTTGGGGTCTCTTGGGGGGCCTCTTGGGGCCCCTTGGGGGCCTCTTGGGGCCCCTTGGGGGTCTCTTGGGGCGGAAAGTTTAAATTTTCAGTTCGTGGTCCCCTTGTTGGGCCCTTCTGGGAGGTCTCTTGGGGGCCCTCGTGGCCCGTTTCGAGGCCCTCGGTGTCCTACAGGCAGAATTTCTGGAGCAAAATGCCCCCCTGGCCGGCCCAGGTAGACCCCGCTCCCCCCCTCCAAATCGACCGGATCCGGCTCCAGGGGGAGGGGTTTGGGGAGCGGGAAGCACCTCCCACGCCGATGGAACCCCAAGGGCTCGGCGGATTTCTTTTGCCTGAGCACCAGCGGGCGGCCTGACGCGAGACTCAGCTACTGCCCGCAGTCAGGGGCGGGGTTGGCCGGAGCCACCATCGAGAGCAGCCCGAGGCATAGTATGACGCACCTCCCGAGTCACCCCCTCTGGAGTCGATACGCCTCTCTTCCTCGTGCTCACGACGGGCACTGCCCTGAGCCTGGTCAGGGGACCCTGGGGAGGGGGAGGAGGAGGCGGAGGAGGAGAAGGAGGAGGAGGAGCAGGAGGAGGAGGAGGAAGAGGAGGAGGAGGAGAAGGAGGAGGAGGAGGAGGCGGCAGAGGATGAGGGGGGAAGGTGATGGTAGTGGTGGTGGTGGTGGAGGAGAAAGAGGAGGAGGAGGAGGAGGAGGGGGAGGAGGAGGAGGAGGAGGAGGAGGGGGAGGAGGAGGAGGAGGAGGAGGAGAGGAGGAGGAGGAGGAGGAGGAAGGGCAGGGGAGGAGCTGAGCTGACCTGAGCTAGACCATGGGGCTCTGTGCCAAGAACGAAATCGAGCCCTCTGCAAACGTTGACTCGCATCGGACATCAGTACGTTGGAAAACAGGATCCGAGTGTGCTTCGAAGGCATGCTGTCGATCAAGTCTCCCTACTGGAGGCGCACGCGCGAGCCGAGCGTGACGTGCCGCCTGGGCTGCCCGACGGCACTGTTCCTATCCCCACCAGAGGCGCAGCAGGGGGAGGAGGAGGAGGAGGAGGAGGAGGAGGAGGAGGAGGAGGAGGAGGAGGAGGAGGAGTACAGTTTCTCCAAGCTCGCATCATATCGGCTCCCACTACGTATCCTGTGCCACCCATTCCGTCCTGTAAAGACCAGGGCGACCAAGGAGCACACCCATGGGGGCCGCGCACCTCTTTGACTTCACAGCTGCACTAAGCACGCTGCACGTGGGCCTCAGCGCACTCTCGCGTGCCAGCGCGCAGCTCGCTACGCCAGCTCCAGACTCTCCTGCAGCTCCTAACCTCTTTCATGTGCGCTCCTTTTCCCAGCCGCCACGATAACTCAGTCAACGAGAACGCCGACGGCCGCTTTGGCATAGGTTAGGGCGGCCGCGGCCAGCCCCGCTGCTAGGGCGGCCGCGGCCAGCCCCGCTGCCTCGCCGCCGCTGCCGCTCTACGATGGGGGTATCGAAGGATGGGGTGGGATCGTGGGCGGTGGAGAAAACTTACGCGCTTACGCTGACCCAGTGGGGGCCCCTGGATGGCCCGCACCTCGGCCAGTCAGGGTTCCTGGCCTCGACTGGGGATCGTCTTTCCTGGTATCCCTTATAGGTGAGGGGAGGCACCCTTGCCCCATCCTACCTTTGGCGAGTGTGGCCCCGGCCACGCTTGCTAAACTCAAATCGCAAGTTGCCACCCGCGCTGTCGCCACTCCTCATTGTTTTTCGGCTATGATCTGGTGCCTCCCTTCCTCCTTCCCTCGCCCCCCGGGCGCAAGGGGACATGTTGCCCCGCCTCTGGGGGTGCCATCTTGTCTTGTCCGCTGTTGCCTTACATATATACTAGCTTGATCACCCCCCCGTGGGCAACATCCCCTGAGCGGGGGTGATGGCTGCGTCTGAACGACTCCACCGCCGCCAGATCCCAGATCCCAGGAGGAGGAACGGGGGAACGAGGAGGAGGGGGAGGGGAGAGAGGAGGAGGAGGATGAGGAGGAGGAGGAAAAGGAGGAGGAGGAGGAGGAAGACAATTGTTAATAATGATAACCATACCAATCATAATAATACTAATGATATTAATAATGATACTAATACGAATAATCGCAACACGAATAAGAATAATAATACGAATACTGATCATAAGAATACTAATGAGAAGACGGATCATAACAATAATACGAATAATAATGCTACTAATACTAATATTATTAATAACAATACTAATAATACTACTACTGATAATAAAAATAAGGAGGATGATAATAATAATATTACTAATAAGCATAAGCATAATAATACTAATAATACTAAGAAGAAGAGGAGGAGGGGGAGGGGGAGGGAGAGGGGGAGGAGGAGGAGGAGGAGGAGGAGGAGGAGGATGAGGATGAGGAGGAGGAGGAGGAGGAGGAGGAGGCGGAGGGAGGAAGAGGAGGAGGAGGAGGAGGAGGAGGAGGAGGAGGAGGAGGGCGGAGGAGCAGGAGGAGGAGGCGGATACGTGCCCAAGGCGAAGGCCTGGCTGACCGAGTGGTCGAGGCAGCTGGAAACCAGCCTGGAGGACTACAGGGCGGCTCTGGAGGCGCGCCGCGGGCCCCCGTTTGAGCATCTGAGAGCGCAGCGGCCGCGGGCGCTCCTCGCGGGGCGCTCCTCGCGCGAGGATGATGCTGCTGCTGATGATGCTGATGCTGCTGATGATGCTGATTATGCTGCTGATGCTGATGATTATGATGCTGACGCTGATGCTGATGCTGCTGCTGATGATGCTGATGCTGCTGATGATGCTGATTATGCTGCTGATGCTGATGATGATGATGCTGACGCTGATGCTGATGCTGCTGCTGTTGATGATGATGATGATGATGATGATGATGATGATGGTGATGGTGATGGTGATGAGGATGAGGATGAGGATGAGGATGAATATGATGTTGCTGATGCTGATGCTGATGCGGACGCTGCTGATGATGCTGATGACGCTGACGCTGATGCTGATGCTGGATGAAGATGAGGATGAGGATGAGGATGAGGATGATGTTGCTGATGCTGACGCTGATGCTGATGCTGCTGATGATGATGTTGCTGATGATGTTGATGCTGATGCTGATGCTGATGATGAGGATGCTTCTGATGATGAGGATGAGGATGAGGATGAGCATGAGGATGAGGATGAGGATGCGGATGAGGATGAGGATGATGTTGCTTATGTTGATGCTGATGCTGATGCTGATGCTGATGCTGATGGTGCTGATGATGCTGATGTTGATGCTGATGCTGGTGCTGATGATTGCGATGAGGATGAGGATGAGGATGAGGATGAGGATGAGGATGAGGATGATGTTGCTGATGCTGATGCTGATGCTGCTGCTGCTGCTGAT